TTAATGAAAGCTGATTGAGATCTACTTATCACACTTGGGAGCACTAGGGCCAGTCTATTAGCTAACAAGTCTGAAATACCCTTATATAAGGTGTTGCAACAAGCAATGGGTCTATAGTCTTTCATCTTTTCAGAACTAGGAATTTTAGCTACCAGTGTAAATATTGTACTATTCACATTAGAGGGCATAAATCCAGTAGAAAATAAAGAAAGAACTACCTCTTCAACTTCAGTTCCAACAAGAGACCAGTGTGCTTTGTAAAATTCAGCTGGGAACCCATCTAGCCTAGGGGCCTTATCCTTGCCAAGGGAATGGAAAGTCTGCTTAATCTCTGCCCTTGTAATACCTCTCATCAGTTCATTCTTTTCATCCTCAGACAGCCTGTGCTGAATTAGGCCTTGATAATAAGACTCTTCCTTTGCCTCCACATTAGAATCCTCAACTCCAATTAACTGTTCATAAAACTCAACTGCAATCTTGCCAATACTCTGCACATCAATTTTAATTTCACCCCTGTCATTCTGCATTCGAGCAATCTGCTGCCTTTGAGTTTTAACTTTTACAGTTTTATGAAAGTAAGCAGTATTCATGTCCCCTTCCTGTATAGCTTGAGTTCTTGCTTTCTGCCTATAGTATTGTTCTTCTGCCTTTCTAAGCTCAAGATACTCCATACACAACTGTTTTTCCTTTGCCACTGATTCTGCATTGGGGTTAAGTAAAACTTCATGCTGAGCAGATTCCAGAACAACTGCTGCAGCCTTCACTCTGTTGGAAATGTCTGAATAAACTGTTCTGTTAAATCGCTTCAGAGCCTGCTTCACACTATGGAGCTTCCCATAAAAAATATATGAAGGATACCCCTCTACCTGCTTTTTCCAAGCTTGCTCTACAAGATTCACATAGTTAGGGTGAGCCTGCCAGAAGGTGAAGTATTTGAACGGTTTAGGAAGTGTTTTCAGTCCAGGTTCAGTATCCAATATCAACCCACAATGATCTGATATACCAGGAGGATTTGTGTAAGATGAACTTTCCTTAAATTTCTCCAACCAGGCCTCATTTACCATGATTCTGTCAATCCTTCGAGCTATAGGATTAGCCTGCTGCTTATTCCACCAAGTAAACCAGTTTCCTGACACCTTATGATCGATCAGTTCCATATCCCTGATCCAACCCCTAAAATCCTGCATACTCTGAGTAATCTCCTGCACATTTGAAGTTTCATTAATCTCGGCAATGGCATTAAAGTCCCCCATGAAAACCATAGGAATACTTGCATCTCTTCTAAGTAGTAACTCTTGATAAAGCGTATTCCTCTCCACCTCTTTATTTGGACTGTAAACAAAAACTACTATGAAAGGTTCAGCATCCTCTACCAGAAGCTGTAAATAATGCTCCCCTTCATTAATTCGAGTAACCTTCAGACCTGCCCTCCAGAAAATCCAAACTCTACCTGATTTAGAAGTATCATAGTTATCAGTATGTTGCCAAGCAGAAAAAACACCTTCAATTATTTTCTTACTGTTCTCTTTAGTAACTCTAGTTTCCAGTAAACCTACAATATCTATTCTTCTCACCCTCAACTTCTCAAGAACAGCTGAGTGCTTATCAGGGGAGTTGAATCCTCTGATATTCCAACTGAGTAATTTCATTTACCTCTCTTCCTCCCCCTACCTCTCCCTTTAGGAGGAGATGGAGGACAATTCAATACTGGCCTAGTTCCAATACTGGCACGATGCTGACTCCCTGAACTTCTAACATTATAGTTTGGAATCTCTTTGCTGCCAGACCCAGTGCCTACCCATATCTTCTGCTTCTGCTTCCTGTTGACAACCAGAGTAAAACCATCCTTGTCCACTAATCCACTTCTTGGAGAAGGAGTTTGTGCCCCCATTGTGGTAGCAATCTCTTTCCCTGCCATGTGCTCTAAGACAACATCAGCAACCTCTTGCTCCTTATTCTGAGCTGCTAATCCCTCAGCCTCTGAACTCATGCTCGTACTCACCACTTCTTGAATCTCTACTGATACCTGCTTAGTTGGAGCTTCACCTATCAACGGATTCTGCTTCACCCATACTTTCTGCGGTTCTTCTACTATCTTAGCACAACTATGCCCAAAACAGCCACACTTCTCACAAACCTTTGGCATATGGCAGTACACCACATCAATAAAGAGCTCTGGCAATCCATCAGGTGTTACACTCAACTTCGTGATCTTCTTAGCTGTAGCCTTGACCTCTACACAGATTTGGGCAAAACCCACTTTATGACCCTGAGTAGTAGATTTATCCATACATAGCGGTTTCCCCAACGAACTAGCCACTCTTCCTAAGCCTTCCTTCGAGGTTAATTCCGTTGGCAGATTGGAGAGTTTAATCCACAACGGTAGTGCTACATTCGAGGAATTTATCCTAAGCCTTCCTAAGTAGGGATGGCAATGGGTCGGGTTGGGGCGGGTTTTGTCAAACCCAAACCCATGGGTTTATCCGCCAAAAAAATCCGGGGTAAAACCCGTTGGGTTTGAAAAACTCTAACCCAACCCAACCCGCTGGGTATCCGCGGGTTCATGGGTACCCGTGGGTTTTTGTGGTAAAAAAATTACAATAACAAATTTCTTTCAAAATAAAGTTTAACATCAATTTTCTCATACAAATTATTCATACAAAAAATACCAATCTAGAAAATACAAGCAAACCGCAAATGATCAATACAAATTGTTCAAAATTATAGATAAACATCTATAAACAACAAGATTAATTGAAATCTTCTTCCTCGTTAAACAAGTTTCTTCACTCTCCACTCCATAATATCAAATTCATTCTAAATAATTAGAAAGAACAAATTATACATGTCTCCACAAACATAAATAATATTAGTTGTTTAAAGAAGATATATTATTTAGAATATTAAATATACCGGAAAAGTAATTATATGTGTGGGCGGGTACCCATGGGGCGGGTTTACCTAAACCCAAACCCAACTCAACCCAGTGAATAGTGTAGCGGGTTTAAACCCGAACCCGGCCCAAAACCCGTCAACACGGGTTTTACCCGCGTTGACCGGGTTGAATCGGGTGGATACCCGTGGGTTCGGGTTTTGTTGCCATCCCTATTCCTAAGCCACTCTTGCTAAGACTTCAAAAATACAACTTCAGTTTGTACTATAAAAAATTATTTTTGTAAAACCAAAACACTGCTTTAAAATTCCTCCGGAATGAAGACTATTCTTTCTTTGTCTTTACCTACATTTAGGGCTCTGCTCAGCACATAAATCATACGAATATGCTTTGTGCCAATGAGAATATACCATTCCAATCATTTGAAGTTTAATTTAATTCAATAAAAATCATATAGAGTTAATTCAAAAGAGAAACCCACCACAAAACTAATAAAAGATAACTACATGTAACCGAAATTTGCCTAATAATCATACCAAAAAAAAAAAAAAACAATTTGCCTAATAAATGGAAACTTCGTCTTGTTTCGTGGTTGCATCTCAAGCAATGTCGCTTTCTTGCGACAACTTCCCCAAAAAATTTGGTGGAAGTCTTATTTTCTTGAACATGGCGTGCATATACTTACCAAGATGTATTATGCTCAATTTAACAAAGATTAGACGGTATAATGGGTACACTACAATTTTTTTATTATTTTTTTTTCAACTTCATGTAAATTACATATATATTTTGAATTCCTTGAGTCTCAGTGGAGATATAAAAGGTGGGTGTTAAAGAAAAATCAATGTATTAGAGATGGTAAAATAATGAAGAAAAACAACTGTAAGATAATATTGGGAGGCAAAGACCGGGGAAAAAAAGAAGAAGAGAGTTTTCTTATTCATATGTTGTTTTGTATAACGGGGTACTCTTGTATAAACTTTATAGGCGGAAGATGAGAGATAGACACCGAATAGTGCACCTAGCCATTTGCAGAATCTCTTCCAGCGAAAGAAGGAACTTTGAGTTTGAAGTTGAAATACTCTCGGACACCCCAACCCACCAATGTGGACAACTATGAATAAGTGAGTTTGGAGAAGACGAAGCGTAATGTCCAGAGGGAGGCATACTAAACGCTTTGATTAGGTTAAGGATCTATGGTACCTTCATAGAGGTATGTGGCATCCCAGCCTGATACCATATGATGGAACCCAATTCTTGGAATTTATCATAATTATTATTATTATTATTATTATTATTATTATAATTAGGATATTATTAGATATGGTTAGTAGTTATTGAGTCATATTATGATAGTCTATTAGGTTTTTCTAATCTTTCTCTATAAATATGTAATTGGTCCTTCATTCATAATCAGACAAGAAGAATATTAAGAAACAATCTCCTAAACCCTATTCTCCCAATCCTCTCAATTCTCGTTCTCAATCCCTCTAAAGGCCTAGGCCGATTCTCTATATTTCTCTTCTCAAATCCCTAATTCTGTTCTTAATTCCTAAATCCCCAATTCCCGATAGAACCCTAATCCCAGGTTCTATCATTTGGTATCAGAGCCGTCATGAGCTCTTCAACGCTCATCGATCCGGCATGGGCTCGCATACAACAGAAGATCAAGTTCACGCTAGCTGAGCTCAAGCAAGAGGCTAGTGACCGAGGGTGGACTGTTGCGGCGGCGGCGGAGGAGGGCGACCCCACTGCGGAGACCAACGCAACGCTGACTCCATCGCGGTGAGAGAGCGATGTGGCGAACGCGACGGCGGGGGGCGAGACTGGTGGTCGGCCTTCGTGCCGAAAGGGAGGCGCGGCGGCGTTGTTGGCGACGGTGGGAGCCGGGCCCCGCGGCGCGGCGGCAGGCGAGCAAAGCGGGGAGCTCGGGGGAGCTTCGGAGAATGGGGGTGAGGCTTCTCTCAGGGCGGTGTTCACTGTGGCGAAGAAACCGCAATCGGAGATGAGGCCTGACGACGAGTAGCCAAAGGCGGGAAAGGAACTCGGCGGACCTCGTAGCCAGCTGGGCGGTTCGTCGCCGATTCGCGAAGAAGAGAGAGAGGCGATGAGAAGAGTTGGGTCGGATCTCCCTCATAGCTGCTTGACGACCTCGTCATCAGAGAACGAGGGGAAACAAGCACAGCCGGAGAAGAATTTGCCGCCGGAGGTCTCTCTACAGACGAGGCCAGTAGTTGGCGAGGCTCCTGGCCGCCGGATGGAAGGATCGCTGAAGAAGAAAGGCGACAGTACCTTCCCACGCGAACCCTTGGCAGATCACAGGTGGGCTTCAAGGAGGAGTTGGGCCGCCAAAGAATTTGCAGGGGCCACCTTTTAATGAAGCTAGGGAGAAAGAAGATGGGTTTAGTTGGGTTTCCATGGGCCCATACGTGAAGAGCAATAAGTCGGAGATTGAAGTAAGGGGTGACAGTGGCACAAGTTATTTGGCGGAGTGGGAAAGAGAAAAAATGGACGCATTCATCCGGGGCCATATAAGCCGTGAGGTAGGAGAAGGATCGATGAAACCAAGAGCTGATAATGTTGCACTGGTTCGTGAGCTTGAGCATGATTTGAGGAAAAGGAAGCGCAAGAAATGGAGTCAAAAGTGTGGTCTACACAGGCAATGTGAAGAAATTGATAGAGTCGGTCAACCTTGAGGGCAAGGTTGGTCTCAAGGGTGAGGGGATGATGGAAACCCAATTCTTGGGATTTATCATAATAATTATTATTACTATAATTAGATTATTATTAGATATGGTTAGTAGTTATTGAGTCATATTAGGATAGTCTATTAGGTTTTTCTAGTCTTTCGCTATAAATATGTAATTGATCCTTCATTCATAATCAGACAAGAAGAATATTAAGAAACAATCTCCTAAACCCTATTCTCCCAATCCTCTCAATTCTCGTTCTCAATCCCTCTAAAGGCCTAGGCCGATTCTCTATCTTTCTCTTCTCAAATTCCTAATTTTGTTCTAAGGAAAACGAGTTTCTATATTATCATTGTTATTAGGTTTTATTAAATATGGTTAGTAGTCTTTTAGTAGAATTAGGTTTAGTATTAGGTTTTCACATCGTTCGTTATAAATATGTACTTTGCGTTTTATTCAGAATCAAGCAAGAACAATTATGCATAAAAGTATCTCAAACCCGAATCTCTCTCAATTTTGTCACCTATCCCTATGTCGTCGCCATTCTTCTCCTCGATCCCCAATTTCCTCTTCTAAATCCCTAATCCCCAATTCTGTTCTTCCCCAATTCTATCTCAATCCCTAAATATCTATCAATTCCCAATCTCATCAATCCGACCGTTAGAACCCTAGAATTAGTTTTCTAACATAATGGTCATGCTCAGACGCCTGGTATGTAGATTGTGGCCAGGTGACCACATCCTCGACCATTTCATGCGCCTACTTTAGTATGTAATTGTACTTCGTTGTTGAGGCTCCCTCGCGAAGAAGAGTATGGACTAGGGATGGCAATTACCAACCCATGGGTAATTATACCCAAATCCAAGTAAACCCATTCATAATGGGTTGGGTATGGGTGAAGTGTATATGGGTTTGGGGGTTTGTAGATAGTTTTGGTATGGGCATGAATATTGCTTTCATAATCTAAATGGGTATGGGTTGGATATGGATATCCATTTACTTGAGGGTGTTTTAACTACAAATGAAAAAATTGGACCTATTTGTAAAACTTGAAAAGTTTAGGTACCAAAATGTAAGACCAAAAAAATTTAGGTACGAAAATGTAATTTTTCATCGATATTTTGAGGTCTTATATGCAAAAAAAAAATTAATTTTAGGTACTAAATATGCATATCTATTAAGTTTAGGTACCAAACTGTAGTTTACATTTGGGCATGAGTACAAATCCAAATCCATTTGTTATAAACCCAACCCAACCCAAGTAAATGGGTATGAGTACAAATCCATCAAACTCTACCCATATCCATCTATTTGGATTTTATATCCAACCCAATTGGGTTGGATAGTAAAAACCACGTGGGTATGTGCAAAATTGCCATCACTGGTATGGAGCATGAAATAATGCGATGTATATCGACAATCATGGAAATAGCGATGTTGCTAGCTCTATGACCATATATGGGGGAATGTTGCCTCATTTAAGATGATTTGATTCTCTAAAACACCACTCCTGACTTTATCATCACTAACGGGTCTCTGAGACCCCTGTGTTAATATTTGTAATCGCATGGACCGAGTTAAGTAGTTGTTATACGTGTTAGCACTAACTTTTGAAACATTGAAAAATTGTAATTGTTTGCATGAATCACCCGTCAGCCCTAACTGGGGGACAATTGATTTACCTGTTGTATCATGATCCTTACAACCCTATTAAGTATCAACTCATTTTGTTATATTGCCAAATAACATCATATATATTTTACATTTGTATACTTGAGAAGATTAAGTTAAAATTTTAGAAGCCTTGGTAGGATTAGCAAAGTTGCCAAATGACATCATATATATTTTACATTTGTAATACTTGAGAAGGTTAAGTTAAAATATTAAAAGCCTTTGTAGGAGTAGCAACTTGGTACAACTCTATTATGATGCCTAGATAATGTGGAGTGAGCATAAACAAAACTCAAAGGTAACAACTCTTTTTGTTACTATATTCTAACTCCTTAATGAGTCATCTTAACTCATCTGTGGGTCACAACTCACAAGTAATTGATAAAGTGATTACATATATTTAGGTTTGCATTTTGTTACTATCATTTTATTACCCGTTGAACCTATGTAATCATTTTGATCAATTGCCATGATTTATGCCAGTCGTTTTATGTTTGTTTAGGTTCCAGGGTTTAGAACCGAACAAAGATAAATGACATATTGCACACTATATCATGTAGAATAATTTTTTTTTTATGGTTAATCAAAATTGCATTAACCTCCCGAACAACTTGTAACTAAGGGTTCTCTCAAGTGTACAGCTTTGAACCATTACATCAACCATCAAAAACCCTCTCTTCCTGCACTATAATGCAAAGCAAAAACTTCTCTAAACAAAACTATACAGTCCTTAGCAATCTGGCTTTTACAATTTATGAAGAAACAACTATTGGAACTCCAAATCGGTATATTTACATCTCACTCACATTCATTGTCTAGCTCCTCCTCTTTCACAACAATAACCAATCCGCCGCATATGCTATGATACATATAGCTTCAAGTCATTACCCAAAATACATAAATAATACTAACTCCTTAGCTAGCTTATATACAAAAAAAAGTCACATCCATCTTAATTTGTTGCCTACCAAACCCCTCTTCCAATCATCATAACTAATAAGCAACCGGAGACTTCTTCTCTCAAAATTACTCTTGTCAATCCCTCCGGCCACCCTTTCTCACACGACTTTAACTGCTGTCATATGCATCGCCGCCGGGAAAGGCTTGTTCTCCGACAGGTCAAAAGTCAGCATCGACGCTCTGGGCTTCGCCGGCCGGTGATAGTACGCAGCAGGCAGCGCCGCCGCCGTCGGGACGAATCTCTCGCACGACCCACCGAACCACTTGGACTTCATGTACTCGTACTTCCTCCACGGCGCCAGGTGAATCTTCTTCTCCTTGGAACAAGCCTCGGCGGCGGAGCAGAGCGTCTTGATCAGATTCTTCAGCCGGTCTACCCTGCCGACAAACACCTCCGGCAGCCGGGCGATTAGGTGGTTGTATTCGTCGCACGCCCTCGCCATCTCGAACTCCGACCGGAAATTCAATTCGACGATCACCCTCACTTCCCCTCTCTTGGTCGAATTCTCCACCACTTCCAAGTAAGAATGCTCCCCTGTTCACAACCCATGAAAAAAAAAAAAAATCAGTACAAATTCCGAATTAGGTTTTGGAAAAGACCTGCGATTGGGGATTTATGATATCAAATTTCTGCTTACCAGATAAGCCGAGGCAGTTCCCCTTCCACTTGGACTTGCAAATCGTGCAATTGTGGCCCTGACTCTGTAGCCTGGCGGCGACTTCCCTTCGGAGGCAGGTCCGGCAGCCGTCTGATTTCCCGCACGTGCAGTTCGATCCGGGCTTCTCGATCTCGATCAGGGCATCTTTGGTGTCCTGACGAATCTTGGTTTCCACGGAAGTCGTTCTGTACAATATCGTCTGAAAAAAAAAAAAAAAATTAACCAGCAAGAAACAAAGAATCAATCTCCAATTCACGCCCCAATCCAAACAAAAGAAACAAGAAGGAAAAGTAAGGGAATCATGAATTCTTCAATTTACCTGTAGGAGCTCGTTTTGGGTTTCCCAGAATTTCTTCCTCTCTTCCGAATAGCTGAGGTCTTCCGCCACGTCGTCGTCGTCGTCCGGGAAGTCCGTGGAGGTGGCGGAAGAGGTATTGGGAGAGGGAGAGTCGTCCTCGGCGGCGGGTTGTTCGAAGAAGCCGAAAACAATGTCGGAGAAGCTGGCGGAGTCGTCGGAGAAGGCGTCGGCGTAGAGAGAGGAAGGTTGTTTCTCGGGGATGGAGAGCGCCATCGCGGCGAACAGCTTTTTTTTCTCTCGAGCTTTTCTGTTTCCTTTTCCTTTGATTCCTTGTTTGTGGTGGTGTGGGGCGGTTCGAGGGAGGAATTGTATTTATAGTGGGAAAAAGGCTTGTCCTACGTGGACGAAGGGAAACGCGGCGAACATGAGTGAAGAAGGAGGAGGGGATGGGTGACGTGGACGCGAGGAGGGAGAAGGGGTTTGACAGCTAAGTTCCACGTAGGTGTGGGCCCCACCGGGTATGGGGTGTTTTTGGTGTGGGAGAAGGAGCGGATAAGAATGGAGATGCTGGAGAATGATTCCATTCCAGTTCCACCGTAAGGTCTGAGTGGGAGGGAGAAGGAAACTCATAATTTATTTATTTATTTATTAGGGTTAATATTTTCGTATGGCCTGAACTTTGACCAAAATAAATATTCTGGTTAATCTTTTCGATCTATAATATCCTGGCCCGAACTATACACCAAAATAAACAATTTGGCCAGATCCGACTTTTGACCATTAACTTGGACGGCAAACGCGTTGACCATTAGTCAATGCGCCATGTCACTGCCAAGTCAGCATAAAATATTTAAAATAATTCACAATTTCCACACATTCCCTAATTTTAAATTATTATAAATTAAAAAAATCATCTAATACCTTAGTTAAACCAAAAATAAAAAACAAAAAAAATTAAATATTTATCAGATCTTCTGACTTGGCAGTGACGTGGCGCGTTGACCGTTAGTCAACGCGTTTGACCGTCCAAGTTAACGGTCAAACATCGGGTTTGGCCAAAAAATTGTTTATTTTGGTGTATAGTTCGGGTCAGGATGTTATAAATCGAAAAGATTGGTTAGGATGTTTATTTTGGTCAAAGTTCAGGCAATACGAAAATATTAAGCCTATTTATTATTATTATTATTATTATTAAGGCTGGCTTTGTTAAATTGGGAATGGGATTTAGAATAAAAGCGGGGGATCGAAGCGCAGCAGGTAATGATATCCAATTGTCCCACGAGAAGGTTGTGAGGTTTATCCTAATCCGATTCCGGATCCCAAATCCCAATCCTTGGCTGGCGGGCTGCAGGACTCTACGGACTGACTTGCTGATCACAACTCATACCCCGCTAATCTTAGTTTATACTAATTAATTATTATTGTAGTAGGTGGCTTAAGTTGGCCTTCTTTATACATAACAGCAACATTTCTAATCCGCGTCCTTAATTCAGTCACGCCCTTAATTATTGTAGGTGTCCTTCTGAAAAACAAATTCGAGTTTTTCACTAACTGGTTTTTAATGGTCAGTAACACTTACTAATTAATTTAATATAATATAATTTTCTTCTTTGAATTAGTATCAAATCTAATATATACAAAGAGTGAAAATAATTAAATGAGTAAATACAAATACTGTTAGCCATACTATTCAAATTATTAGCCAAATCTTTTGTTAAAACAAAGTATTGGCCAAATCGTTTACTACCCGTTAGCAGTTTTGTTGGTTATGTTGACTTGGCAATATGATGTTGAGCTAGAAGAGACATGCAGTGGTCAACATTCCAAAAATTTATCATTTTGATTAAGAGAAAGAGCTATAAAATTCCCAACTGTAACAAAAAATTACTAATATTTTTATGCATTACAAAATATTTCGCTAATACTTTGTATTTCAAAGTATTTTGCTAATAATGTAAAAAGTTTGACACATGCCTAATAAATTGTAATACTCTAATTATATGATATATTTAATCGTCTATCTAACCTTTTAGATTTGTTTAAGAACCCTTACAAACATTAATTTTCATGACAAAATCGTCTTGCCCCTCTAATTTGTATATATTTATGTTATTATCCTAGCAGTAATTAGTATTAACCGAATCAAACCAGAAAAAGGGTGGCAGTTTGGTTTTGAATTTCGATTTTAATAAAAACCGAATCAATTTGACAATCTTATCAATTTTTCTTAACGTGTAAAATTGACAAGCCCTTAACAGTTTTCATATCGAGTTTGTGATTCTCTACCGACTACCAATGTTATGTCAAGAGGTAGAAGGAAAAAGACAAAGCATGCATCCGGTTAGAAAAAGAAAAAAGACGCATGATCACAAATACATAAATATAACCTAACAGACTAGAATTTTAGACACGAACATGTTCATTAATGGGATATGCTAAATAGATTCAACGAAAAAAAAAACTGAATATGCTAAATATATATTCTTTCTTGCAGGACTTAACAAAATTTCTAGAGTTTCTCTTTTGAAGGGGTTAAGGTTACGGTAATTACTTTATAGTAATCATCATGGTTACTAAGGGCAAAATTGGCAAGAGAAAATATTTATTAATTTTATTTTTTAATATATTAAATTTGAGGAAGTACAAAAATATTATTTATAATTTTTTATCTCTCTTTCTCTCACTTCCGTAATATGCAACCATATCGCTCTTCCTTCTTTTTCTCAAATATTTTATTGTCTCCATTCAAAATTAGTACCATTATAAAAAAACAGAATTGTACAATTTCATAAAATAAAACAATGAACCGGTACCAAAACAAAAAAAATGAAAATCTAGGATTTTTTATCCATCTCACCATTTTCCAGTTGTCTCAGAGAGAGAGGGCAGCGGGGGAGGAGGCCGGCAGTCGGCAGCCGTCGCACATAAAATAGTTTTTTTTTTAACTGGGAACCTATGCAGATAAAATAGGGTTTGGGTGGAGGAAAGAGAAGGTAGAAGTAGGATATGGTTAAAATATATAGAATAATCGGGTGCAGACTCAAAATTTTTCCAAAATTACTCTGAAACAATTTTACCCTTAAGATTAAAAAAAGAGGGGAAAAAATGAATGACCGGTAGTGATGTAGCCACGGTGGATACTAAAATTTTAGGGGACTAGATACCGTGACAACCCCCAAGGGGGTTGTCAATTTCGCTTCCCCTTTAGTAGTCGTCCATCCCTCTTCCTCACCATCTGACAGTTGATGATGGCCAAGGGAAAAAAAGATAGTGCCCACACTGGATTCGTCTGCCCACTAATTGCTGACGTCAGCCAGGTTTGGAAAAGGGAAAGAATTTGGTGGGGGAGAGAAATCAACCACCCTCCCCGCAGAACGATTCATCTCCCCCAAACCCTTTTCCTCCGTCTTCTCCCAAAAACCTTCCCTTCCACCATCTCCGATCAATTTTCTCGGCGTTTCCTGCCATCGTCTCACCCGATCTCGTGTTGAGTGCAAAGTCTTGGTGTTTGTCTGCCCTAAAATCATTTTCTCCTTCATCGTCTCCCAAAAAACCCAGCAACCGTCACCGCCATCGTCCCTTCTTGCTGTCGTGCAAACCATCACAGGCGAGGTATAATCATGCAATCCTTTCTTTCTTGTGTGGCTTGTTTGATTTGATTTTTATATAATCGAGTGGTACTTTGAATTGGTAGCATTGCTATCACTACAGAGGCAACACTATTGGTAGCAGTTTTAGTGGTAGTTGTGGAAATTGTACTAATTTTAATTGTAGCATGGTAGTGGTAGTCTAATTGAATGGTAGCACTGGTACTAGCAGTAGTGGTAGTTTACTAGGAGGGTACCACTCACTTTTTCCAGTTGTAGTGGTAGCAATATAATTTGTGTACCAGTGAATTTTGATCTGGCAGCAGTGGGTTTAAAATAATTAATTGTTATTGGTAGTGGACTAGTGGTAGTCGAAGTTGTTGTTACTAGTAGTGGTAGTTGAAGTTGGTATTAGTCCTTAGTGGTAGTTTTTGTGGCACTGTTGAATGGTTTATAGTGGTAGCATAGTAAGTTTTAATTAAATTTGTATAACGGAGAGTCCCTACGAGAAGAAGAAGAAGAAGAAGAAGAAGAAGAAGAAGAAAAAGAAGAAGAAGAAGAAGAAGAAGAAGAAGAAGAAAGTAGATGCAAGTTCAAGCCAATTCGGGAGAAGTGCAGCTGGAATTCAAACATTGAAATTCTGGAATCTAGCATTTCGAAAGAGAGGAAGGCTATACTGAAGAAGCTTAAGGAGTATGATAATTGGTTATGTACGTTTTGGAGTATGAACAAAGCTTGAGGCGTATGATAATTGTCTATTGCTTTTTTAATGTAAACCAATTATATTGGACAAAGTAATGGCAGTTTGCAGTAGTACATTTGGTTTTGTGTTCCATTGGCATTTTCTCATTACATCCAACACTCTTTCTCCCCATAAGTATTATGTGACTAGCAGTCGTGCTTGTACAACTACTAGTACTGGTATATGTAGCAGTAATTACCTGGTTAACACACGAGGGGTTCCGGCCAATGACTGCAAATGCTTGGGCGAAAGGCCACCCGGGAACGAATTCACCGCTGTATGGCTGACCGGCGATTACTAGCGATTCCGGCTTCATGCAGGCGAGTTGCAGCCTGCAATCCGAACTGTTTAGTTGATAAATCTGAAAAATCACGAAAGCTGACAACAAGAAACAAAAACGCGTTTAGTTACTACTATAAGAACTAAAAACCAGAAAAAAGAGATATGTCCTCAATATTAAGCAAAGTCTCACAAAATTCAATTTACCTAACATCTATCACCCCATATTTTGCTATCATCCCCATTATCATTTTTCTGAATCTCCACACAATCAACATCACCATTTTCAACAATTTTCTCCATAACTGAGGTAAACCACAAAACAAAGAACATAGCAATCAATCCATAATCTAGCAATCACTACATACATGCCAAATTCATGAACATATTCAGAAAGTATAGATTAACATAATACTTTGAAGAAGTCGAAGTTACCTACTGCGGGGGAGATGGAGTGAGGCTTTTGTGGAGGGGAAGTGGTCGGCGGCGGCAGGGCTGGGTCGGCGGGCGGGTCGTCGGCAGCGGGTCGGCGGGCTGGGCTGGCTACGCGGCGGCGGGCTGGGTCAGCGCGGAGGCGAAGGGGTCGGGCGCGGAGACAGAGGGGTCGGCAAGCGGACGTCGGCGGCCGGTCGGCGCGGAGGTGAAGGGGTCGGCGACTGAGGAGGTGGCGAGCGGCACGGCGGAGGTGAGGCGGAGGTGGCGCCTTGTTGAGAATGGTGGCGGGTGAAGCCTCTGTA